GTGTGTGTGTGTGTGTGTGTGTGTGTGTGTGTGTGTGTGTGATTTATTTTTATTTATTGGAATTTCTACGCTGCACCATTCCTGCAGGCTCTGAGTGATGGGCAATCATCAACGCCTTAAAACAATACACAATCATATAAACTCAGAAACAGTTATCAGTGCCATCCAACCGGGACAGGTCCAATCGCAACATCCTTCAAATGCTTTTTTAAAGAGCCATGTTTTTACAGTCCTGAGAAAACCCAACAAGAGGTCATGGTGGTCCAGATGTTTGTGTGTGTGTGTGTGCCTTCGAGTCAGGTTTTTGACTCCTGGAGATTGCCTGGACTAGTCCCTGCAGTTTTCTTGACAAGATTTTGGAAGTGGTTTGCCATTACCTCCTTCCTAGGGCTGAGAGAGAGGGACTGGCCCAGGTCACCCAGCCGGTTTTGTGCCTACAGCAGGACTAGAACTCATGGTCTCCCAGTTTCTAGCCTGGTGCCTTAACCAAACTGGCTCTCAGTCCAGATGTTTAGGGACAAGTTATTTCCCAGAAGGAGGGCCACCACTGAAGAAGCCCAACCACAGGATCCCTGTGAATGGAATTCCCTTGAACACAGGGGCTTCAGCAATCCCTTTTCCTGATCTCATTGACAGGGAGATTCATTTAGGAGAAGGCATTCTTGAAGTTATCCTGTCTTATGCCATGTAGGGCTATAAAGACGACAACTAGCCCTTTGAACTGGAATCCCAGTGCATCTCCTGCAGTACTGATGTTACATGGGCTAAGTACACCCATTACTACCTCCCCTCACCAGTCTGAGTTTCCAAATGTCCATCAAGAGGAACCCCAGGTAGAAACAGGTTTAATAGGCCAACCATGAGGTGACAAGACCGTGCTTCCTGATCCAGGAAAGGATGCCACTGGTATATTTGTGCAAAGGCTCTTCCAGCAGTGGCCTCCACCTACTATTGAAACAAAAGCCGAGAAGCCAGAAAAACTCCCAGGTTGAAAACCAGCACCCCAGGGGGGAGTACAACACCATCCGGAGCTAAATCAGTATTGTTATTTGTTTGAAGCTGGCATTTGACACATAAACTGAAACCACAATTCTGTCAGTTGGAATGTTTTCCATCCTGCGCTTGACCAAAAAATATAACTGTTCTAAACATATGCAGAACTTCTATCTCTCCACACCTGTAATGTGGATTTTTGAAACCTTTTGAACAAGAGTTTTTTCTAGAAATTTGTCACTGCTCTAAATCACCAGCAAGCTGATTTAGCATGTATATTTCACATTACTAAGAGGAAAAAGAAAGCTTTTAACACATGATAAAGTCTCTCCTATGTTATTTTTATTTAAGGGGTGGGGGGAAGATTAAAGTTTCTGAGGATATGTTGCCTAGAGCTCCTGAAAGAAAGACAGTATATCAAATGAATAAACAAATACATTAAAAATACAATGTTAATAAGCTTCAATATTGTGTTCTATATTTATCTGAAAACTCTCAATTTCGGAGCTCCTCTGTTTCATAAATTAAATCTTGTCAAGAAGTCACCACGGAAGAGATACTTACTTCACCTTGCTGAAGACAATGTCCACGTCTGTGCTAGTAACCCCTTTTCCATCAATCACTTTACAATCTTTGCACAGCTTGGCCCAGTTCTTGCCATTCATTTCATGCCCTGTTGCTTTGGTGTCTCCATAGATGGCAAATTTCCGGAAGCTTTCCTGCAAGAACTCCATGTCTGTGCTCTCGGCCATGGTGCCCTTTCAAAACACAGGAACATCTGTTCAGACCCAGGCTGTAGGCAATACAAGTAACATCCCAGACATTGGAAGAGGGAGGCAATTCAATGCCCTCCAGATGCTTCTGGGCTTCAGTTCCACCCCACTTAGGTCAATGACAGGTAAGGCAACCTTGGGTCATATGTTAATCTGGTATGTTGGGTAAGACACTGAGATGAGATAGAGGAACTCAGGCTTGACCTCCCCACTGTTCATGAAGCTCCCTGGGTGACTTTGGGCCAGTCACTCCATCACAACACAGCCTCTCTCACAGAGTTATTACTGTGGGAATAAAATAAGGAGTGAACCCTGCCCTCGCAAGCCACTTGAGCTCTCAAAGAAAAGGTGAGATACAAATACAGTTAACTAAATAGGTAACAAATAGAATATGTAGCCGCAGGGCCATATTTCAAAAGCCCTTTGCGATCAGTTCATCCCCTTGAAAGAAGATTCTCTCCCTTCTCTGCAGCCTGATGTGTGAAGGAGGAGAGAAAGAGAGAAGGAGGAGGAAAACAGAACATCAGGAGAAGAGAACGGGCAACACCCCACCTTCTCTTTCTAGCCCCTCCACCGTCTGCTTCTTTCCCCACCACTCACTATGAGACAATCCCTTACTTCTAATCTATAGGAACCCAAGACAACTCTTAAGAGGGGGGAAAAAATCATCCACGGGGGCCAAGAGCAAGTTATTGTACAAGTTGTAATCCAAGGCTCCAGGTTGTCTACATCTGATACAGATTTTCTAAAACCCCTCCTATGTTACCTCCTTCCTCCTCTGTGAGGCTTTCTTCAAGCCAGTGTATGTAACTGCTCTTCTGCAAAATGGCTGCAGGACAGAGTCCAGAGCCGCTGTGCTAAAAGTCAGTCAGTCAATCCTTTATTTGTTTCATTTCAGAGGTCAAAAATGGGGGCCGCATGGGAATTATGAACACCAAAGATTAGTGGAATGCTACAGTACACCTGAAGAGGATCTCCCCACTATGTCAGAGCAATTAATGGCACATATTTCTTCAAGATTCTTTTCTGCAGTGGCTACAGTCTCTTTAGTTGAGATGCAATTAAACAGAACGTGTATAGGTATGAATAATTAGTGATGCTAATCAGGCATACTATTGAATTCATGATATCAGGGCTTTCAAGTTTTCTAATTATACAAGAATTCCTTTAGATCAGGCTTGACCACTTTTTCGGTGCCAAAAGCCATATCTACTGCAGGTTTGGAGGTGTTGTGTGTATGAAAAAGCACGAGTTCATCTATCTTAGCCAACAAAACAAGGTTTCTTATCAGAGCCCGAGATATATTTTTACTGGCCCTGTTTAATGTAAATCCTGAATTCCTGGCAGAAGACTGCTGGTCTCTTCCTTAAGCATCTCCACTAAAAGGGGTCCCTCATCTTCTGAGGAAGTCTGTTCAGCCGTTCAAATTAACGTTCCACCTTTATTAGGAAGTCACTCCTAATGCTTAGCCCAAATCTGCTTCCTTGTCATTTCCACCCCTCTGTCTGAAGCAAGAAAAAACAAATCTGTTCCAAGTTGTTATATAAACAGCAATCAAAAACAGAATGAGTAAGAAATACAATGAGACAGAAATTATTCAAAAATGTTCCTCAGCACTGGATCGAAAGGTTGCTTCTTACTGCAAATTGCATATAATTCCCCCTATAGAAGAATGGCAAATCAAGTTGTGGGAATATGCTTTGATGTCCAAAATAACCATCCGTTTGAATTAGAATTTTTCAATTATAATTCCATACATAAAGTTTGGGTTTCTTCTAACATAAGATGCTAACGCTGATCTTGATTTGCTAAAGATTTCGTTGTTGTTGTTTAGACAGAAATTATTGTAACCTTTATTATTTTTTTTTATAATTTTTATCAGGCCGATGATCATCCTCTATAATTGCACATTAACTTGATTTTAATAAGCATCTAAAGTTTTCAAATGATATCAGGTACTTAAATACATAAGGCAAAATTGTTATCTCGCAATTGTTATTCCATTTCATTCAATTTTATAATGCTTGTGAACCTCTTTTCTATTTATTTAACGCTATTTCCTATTCTTTAATTGTTCTTCCTTTTTTTTTCTCTGCTTCTCTTTCTTGGTGGTGTTTTCTTTTTTAAGTATCGAATAAAATAAAAATAATAAAACCTATAAATATGTTAAAGAAGGAATAGAGTATTGTAAAAACTATAAACTATGAAACTATAAGCTCTATTGTAAAGAAACCCTAAATATTGGACTGAAAGGGAGGCAATTTGAAATGCCACTAAATAGAAATTGTGTAGGATGTGAGGGGGTTCAGGCTGAAACATCTGTCACACCATTGATTGCCTGGGTTGATTCAGCTGAGACAGAAATTGTCAATCAATTGGCATCAATCAATGGTGTTGCATTCCATAGTAAAAACCACGATAATGGATGCTTCTCAAGTTTTGTTATGATGCAAGAATTACTTTAAACCAGGCCTAAGCAACCTTTCTGGTCTGAAGAGCCTCATCTGGTGCTTATTTGGGAGCTGTGTATATATATCAATGCACTGATAAACAGAGACACTTTTGCGCACACACTCACATACCACCCTGCATTCTTCTAGCAAACTAATGGCTTTTCTGCTTGAATTAATAATGGACAACCAGCTTACTCTGAGGGAGGGAGAAACCATTAGCAGAGAGAAACCATCAATCTCTTGGTTTCTCTCCAGGCTCAGGAGAAAAGTCAGCGAGGCGTCCACAGTCTCCATGGGTCACCACCACTACCCAACAAAAAACAAAAAGAATTTCAGGGTGCCAACCTTGCTGCGAACGTTTGAATAACCACAAGAGTCATGCCTGCTTCTGCATGTTTACCGCAGTGCAAAGTTCTAGTGATTTATTCTGGCCTCCAGATTGGAGGCCAGTAATTCTGTACGACATCAGTCAACCTATGAGCCGCACAAACGTTGGCCTCTCTAAGAGGGGATGGACAAAGTCTACTCAAGAATTACACCAGGGTAAGGTTAGGCAAAGGACTACTTTCTCAGTGAGTCCTGGGGGAAGATCTCTTCCCTGGCTCTCCCAAGACATTTTGCAGGCACCATTACCCCTACCCCCCCAAGGCTTCCCAGTTGTCCAAAGCAAGCCAAAAGACTGAAATGAGCTAAAAAAACCTTTGGCAGAAAAAAAGAAAAGGCATTCCATAAGGAACACTTGGCTACCTTTCTTGATGTCCCAGATCGGCTGCCTGAGACAGCTGCTCCCCTCTGCCCAACAGTAGAGCCGGCTCTGCCCAACACTGACTGCAGGGTGGAAAGAGAGGCTATCCAAGGTACCAATTCCCTACAAGAAATCAGCAGGGGCTTCGCTCTATCCCTGCTCTTGGGTAACGCCGCCCACTGCTCCTGAGCATTTGCCCTTAGCAACCCTGCTTTCCCCCATTAGGGCACCAGCCAGCCTGGGATTCTGCCAGATCCAAGACCATAGTTACAGCCTGACATTAAACAAAAACAGACGTGTGAGTTTGGCTGTTGGTGTGGCCAGAGTTTGTGTTGCCTGGCAACTGTTGCTATGGGTGGGTTGTGATCTTTGGATGCTGTTGCAGCAGGGAGGATGGTGTGTCCCGAACTCCGCACAGAGACACCATGTGTGTGCGAGAGGGAGTGTTTATGCATTCATTCTTATCTCTGCTTCTCCACCAGCTCCCGGGTTGGAGGCATCTGAGAGGGGATGACGAAAGGAGAACGAGAAAGACTGACACGGATCAACCAAGACGTACCTCCAGGCACAGAAATAAATGCAGCAGAGGCAGAATTGTTATGCTGCAACCCTCGGAACCCACTGCATGAATTCTGGCTCAATCAACCTTTATTACAGGTCACAGACCTAGACTTCATAAATAGCCCTGGCTTCTCTTCACACCACACAGGCTCCTGAAACAGGGGCATGTTCAAATGCATAGATTTCCATGAACAATTTTGTGAGATTTTAAAAAATGGACAAGGATCTGGAGAGGAACACAATAAAAGACTTTTTTTTTTGTTATGGAGGCATCTAATTGTATCCCCATTCAGTTCAAGTCCTTCCATATTTAGGGAATTCACACTTCCCCTGCAATTTGCAGCCAGGGGGAAATCACCAGCACACACACAGACGCGCAGCTGCCCTTCGCATTCTATAAGTTGAGCGCTGTGGTCCCCAGAACAACGATCTGCAAATTGCGAATCAGCCACATCACGGGCGATGGCTCCTAGTTATCGTCTTTATTTCAAACACTCCTTCTTTTCCACAGTTGCTCAAAGTATTTGCTCAACCCCTGTTCAAGGTTTGCAGGGACTCTTTCAACAGATTGCCTAACTCACATGGTTGGGCTAGTTGCATTCTCTCCAGAGATCTTGGATACATAAACAAACATACCAACATGCGCTGACAGGGCTTCCCCACCCAACACACTGGCTCATTTCAGACATCAGGCCAAACCCACTGTTTGCACTAACAATCATGTCAAGAAGAACCCAAACCGTGTTTTAAATCCAAAAGAGGGATCACAAACAAGCCCCATTTAAGAGCTTAGTATTGGCTTTCATTTACGCTTCTATTAACATTCATTTCTCCTTCTACCATGCAGTAATCTTTTGAAGGCAGAGCAATGGCCACTGACATGCTTTAGTTCATCAAACCAAACCATGGTTAGCATTCCATAAAGGCTTCAAAACTTGTGTTGAGTCGTGGTTTCAGATTCTAGTTTGTTAGCTGGTCCCTAGAGTTTTGAATCTTTTGCCTGGATTTTGAATTTCCTTGACTTTTTGACCAGCAGTACTGGTCTTCTGAACACCTTCTGAAATGCGTTGCAATGTATGATAGATTTAACCCTAGCTAACATGTCCATCTTGGAGGAAGATCAATTATGGCTATTGTTGTTTTTAAAATTTAGCTTTATTTTATTGTTGTATTTACAATTTGAACTTGCTGTAACCCGCCCACCAGCTTCCTTTGAGTTGGGTGTGCTTCAAAAATTAACAAAGAAACAAGCAAATTGGCTTTTATATGGGATTTGTATCTCTTGGGCTAGTCATTCTCCATCCTCAGATACACATTTCTTTCTTTGTGTCCCCTAGATTGCCAAAAAATTGGCAGTGTTTTCTGCTGCTTTGGGAAACAAACACGTCTGTAATTTACATCTAAAAATAAGCGTCTTGTTGTTTTAAAAAAGCAAAGAAAAAAAAAGAATAGCCTCTAAAAACACCACCTGCACAAATGCAGAAAAAAAAGTAAGTTTTGTCTGAAGCCACATGCATAATACATTTCTACCCACTTTGCAGAACTATCTTACTCCCTGACCCTGGGTCCCTCCAAAGATATTAAGTTCTGTATATAGATATCTGTGTGTACTGAATTCTATACTGTAGAATAAATTGAGGTGGGAAGTAATGCTGGCCCATCCTCATTAAAATTTAGAAAGGGACTCAAAGCATCTTTTTTTAATCCAGAATTTTCTTTGCTGATAACGGTGGTGTTTATTTTTTGGATGTTCTATGTTTATGTCTCTGTAAGCTGCCCAGGACCATATACAGCTGTGCAATAAATACATGCATTCTCTCTCTCATTTTGTCCTACTTGTCTGGAATTGTGGAAATCACATTATGTTGGGGAAGGCTATGGCAAGGAGTTAATTAACAAGTGAATATTCCATATTGCTTTTATAAATTTGCAACCTGGCAAACTCCATCTTTAGAAAAATTGTTCTCGTCAGCGTGATGGGTGGAGAGCTGGGCAGCATAATCTTTGATCCTTGACCCTGTTGGGATACCTGAGAGGACCTCATGGTTTTTTTAAATTTCCCAGGGACCTTTCCTATACATGAATATGAACAGATCTGCAAGGTGGACTTAAGTGTATTTGCTGACTTAGCTCAGTGATGGGAACCAAACCACCCACAATCCCACAAACTTATCTAATGGATGCCAGTCCTAAAATTTGCAGCCCTGTTCACCTCAAAGGGCTGCAACGCACGGCTGCCTGTTCTCCAGCTTTGGCTGATTCACGAAAAGCAGGAGAAAGACCTATCACTGACCCAGAAGCACCTCCTGGTCACAAGACTATCTCTTGCTCAATTCATTCTTGCTAGGATACAAAATGCTGGTGGACCGAAGGAAAGTGAAACACGTTTTTACATGGGATGCTTAACTGTTCCTTTTCAGATTCTTAGGCTCTTGACCAATGCTTGTAAGGACTAAGAATACAAAATAAAAAAATCAGAAGCAAAAATCAGAATAAAAAATCAGAATAAAAAATCAGAAGCAAGCTCTTTTAGGAACTGGACTATCATTCCAGACAATTTTCTGGGATCAGGTCTGTTTGTCACTAGAATGGGTGAGGACCGTGTGGCCCTCCAGATCATACTGAACTG